CCGTGTGACTTCTTCCTCTTCCCCAAGATGAAAATTCAGCTAAAGGGAATGAGATTTGAGACGATAGAAGAGATTCAGGGAGAATCGCAGATGGTGCTTGACAGGCTGACAAAGAAAGGTTTCCAGGGATGCTTCCAGGCTTGGCAGCGGCGCTGGGATCGTTGTGTTCACTCCCAGGGGAACTACTTCGAGGGTGATGGATGAATTTAATACCTGAGATAAGTGTACGGGTTTTTATACGCGCAATTTGGAAACTTTCCGATCGCACCTCGTATAACATCAATAGAAGAAGAGTGGGTGCCTCTGGTTTTAAAGGTTTTCTGATTCGAGGTCACACAAGATCTGTTTTAATATAGACCATCAGTCCTTAACAGGTTTTGATCGATAAAACAAGACTTTTCATCTCGCCAGCGTCACAACGGAAGGTTTGTTGTGTTACAGATCTAACCATGTTGCTATACGCAGGGCAATTGAATAAGGTTCTTGGCGAGGAAATTTCATGGCCGTTAATTTGATCGTTGTCACGTGGTCTGAATCGAAGACGCGCGCATGTCTTCGTATCCCCTCCCTTCCACCCTCCGGCCCGACCAAGTTCATTATCGAGTGAAAGGACCCGCAGACAATCAGACTGTTATTTGTTGTACGTAATCTTAGGCCGGTGCGAGATTTGAATCACGACAAGTGAACATCACGATCAATGACGTACTGTAAAAAACTCATTTGAGCACTAGAGTGGAATTTGTTATCGCATTACGTACGTTAAAAATGCAATCGGGGATCAGTTTTGTTTAAACCTATAAAATAAGATGGCGGCCACCGGAGATATTTTGTGTTAATTGTTGAGATTACTAACCAGTGATTTTAAACAAGATGCAGACCCACTAACTTGTACAAAAGACACTAAAGTCCGTTAATAATAACTACTGTTTTATGTTACATTATGCTGCAAATTACTTTTTTTGTAAACCTTTAGAGAAAATGTCTCTTTTGAGGACACTTTCTTGCTGGGAAAAATGTCTAGAAAGGTCACGTGAGTTGCCGTAGACCACGTGTCCCGCCGACCATAGGTTGACTCCACGAAGACCCCCAGATACGCGCTGTCTCCAGAATAGCCTTGCTTTGTAATTCCATTCTGGAGCCACCTCACCAATAAATTTCGATATTAATATTATTGTTAGGTACATTTTATCACTTCTGTCTCGGTCAGATTTGTCGAATGTGGCTTGAACTTTTCGCAGTGTCGCCATGTTTGAATAATAACTGCAGTACCTCGTATACTTTTAAAATTCGACGATTTGTTAACGCGAGCGGTCAAAAGTTGAAGCAGGTAAATCAGGAATAAAACGTACAAAATAAAATAAATTGAAGTGGAAAGAATCAGCGAGTTTTCTCTGGACAAGATGTCTCCATCTATCACGCATGCGTGAACTGGGTTCGGCTGAACGAGAAAAACGCGAACACTACAGACGATTTCAGTATTTGTGTTTTTAACCCTTTGAAGTCGAAGATCGTCTGAATATTATTTATGAATTCAGTCCGTACCGCGAAGAAAACACTTCACTTAACCATTAGAAGTCGAATCAGGCGGTACCACATAAGATTTAACAAAAGAACATCCCGGTCAAAGCCTTAAGGACGTATCTTCACTCGAATCCTTCGCATTGAACAATGATCATGTAAACCAAGAAAGCGTGTTCACGTTGCGACATTGATCCTTGGCTTCTATCTATCTGTCTCTCTCTTTCTCTCCCCCCACCCCGCGGTCCGCGCGTTGCCATGCCAACCACCCTGCTTGCATGTGGAGACCTCTGGCTGGCTTCGTGACGTCACAGCGATGTTGCTCGAGCGTCTCGCCTGCACAGGATTACTAGGTTCGGTGCTGCAGTGCGAGCTGCCATTTCTGTGTCTACAGCGAAATACGCTGAATGCTTTATTTAACAGTGAGGATCGAATGGAACACGCACTGACGCGTTGTTGAAGTGTTCAGTGGCCATTTTTGTTTTGAGTTCTGCGAACTGCAGATGGCGTAACAGTGTCGCTACGCTTTGCAAAAAAAATGCCTTCTTTCGCTCGTTCCGCGAGGAAGTTGAACGAGACACGTGCATAGGGAACATGGATTGATGAAGCCAACGTGGAGCGATGGTGGAGTCGTCCTCCACCCTGCCCCGATACGGGCGTCGCCCTCACCATGTGGCGTCCAGTGCTATTCGTCGCCGCAGGAACAAGACTGTGCACTTCGGTGACAACCTGCTGACTTCTGACTTCCTGGAGCCCAACGTACAGCAACTCTTCAGTTTCATAGAGACGGTGCTCAGCGCCTGGGTCCTGGACGAGGACGCCGACGGCGACGACAGAAGGCGCCGGAGCAGTAGCAGGAACCTCCATCAGCCCAAGAGGACGCCTTCTGATGTGGTGGCTCTGATCGGAAGGAATCTCAATGGCGACAGGAATATCGGGTGTCCGAGGTTCAAACACCAGCACTGGCGCATCGCGCCAGATCGCTGCAACGCCATCTTTCTCAGTAAGGTAAAACATCTGCCTGCCGTAAACCGCGCTGGAGCGGTGACGTCATTTGTCTGTCGTGTCCACGAACCCAGAGACGGAATAATATGGTTTTTTGTTTGTTGTCGTTCGTACCACCTGACTGCAAGGAGCAGAGGCCCTCGTGAGAAGCTGATAGTAACTCATCTAATCGAGAAACTTCCTGCCGTCTGTTCATTGCATTGATCACAATGCTTCAGTTTCTATCCATCTATGTCCAGTTCTCTACAGTGATCACTTTCCAGCCGAAGTAATTTAATGTTCGCATTTTAAACTTTTCCACGCGTCCTCTCTCCTTTTTCCTCAGTTGTTCCACGCTAATAATGCCTGGTTAAGAGCACGAATTTTTTTAGCTCGTCTTTAAGCATTTATCTGCAGCTTCTCGTGTCTTAATCTTTCTTGCCGGTTATATTCAAATGTTCTCCTCGACACTATTTTAAAAATGTGTTTTTCATTTACAGTGCATAATACTACAGTTTTTCTTATTAGTAAGCAGTAGCTTGAACATTTCCCCATGAAACCCTGAAGACCTCGAATGTCTGTAAACTAATTCGTCCGTGGCTTAAAAATGGCAGTCAGTAAAACTTCCTACACTCGTTTAAGTGACCAACATCTCCTTTGAATTAGAAAGCCTGCATCTTACTTAAGTAGATACATTAAAAATTCACAAATAATTTCTCAGTACGTGGACTTAACAAATTTATTCTGTCGTACGAAGTTGAAATTGTATAGCTTTTGATTACGATGATGATGATGATAATAATTAGCAGATTACTTTACAAGCATTCTAATAATAATTAGAAAATAACCCATTTAAATAAACGGGCAATTGAAAACATTAATACAAGAATAATATTTGCTTTGTTCAAACTCTCAAGAACAGCGTCCCTTACTCAAGAAAGACGAATTTAATTAAGAATTTAATTACGTAAACGAAACAGCAAAGTTTAGAGATTTAACTCGTCCATATCCAGATAACTTTACAGCGATTTCAGAATTTATGATCGCTGATTCAACATACTAGGATCTGCATTTTGATTAACACGTCGCGTTAATAAAACAATTATATATATATAGGCCTACGTATTGTTTTAAGCGATGTCTTCAACCACAAAACTGAAATTTGAGATTTTAATGGC